AAAGAAAGAAAGAAAGAAAGAAAGAAAGAAAATCAGGGTATCTTGAGAAACTGCAAAGACAGGTAAGGTGCCAAGGTGCAAAGATTGCTGGAGGTCAGATGCCATCATTAATATCATAAGACTACTTTCCTCAACACATTAAATCCTAAGGGAGTACCTTGGGAGCCAACCAGAGTGACTGCATTTCTCAGTGTAAGACCCGGTCCTTGGAAACATCAGCTCGAGCCAGAGCTGCCCAGGAGGACTCCAGGAGTGGGATCCCAGGGCTGACTACAGAGAACGTCAGCAGCGCCACAGCAGACAGCGTGGATGCCTGAACCCAAACTCGGGCGGCAGGCAGCAGCCACAGGGGAGCCCTGCTTTTGCCAGGGATCCTGACCACCTCTTCACAGGCTGGCTGCCTACCTGGACTCCAGCAGAGGCTGGAGCAGGGGCTGCTGCCATGCAGAGCAGCCCTCCTGACCCTGGACTGCTGTCTACTGCCTTTACCACTGCTCCTCTCATCGCAGCTTTCTCTCATCTTGAACACATGAAAGAAATAACTAAGCTTAGACTTCGGCATGCAGAGTTGGGTGGTGAGAAGCGATGCCAGTGCACCTGGGTACCCAAACTCTGTGCTACCACTATGGTTGTTTAGGGTGCCACTGATTGCCAATCCCAATGCGACACAGTGAGGCAGCTTAAGATACCCTAAGAGTTATCGTGAAACTATCAAGAATGTATCACATCAATCATTTGCTTTTTAAGAATATATGCTTTTGCAGTTTAAGAGAAAAATCTGCAAATCAAACTGTGATCAAATGTGCCTTAATCCTAAAAAGATTAAAAATAATTTATATGCTGAGTCAAAGAAACTGAAAAATAAAACTTAGAAATCTCAGTGTACCTCATGCCACTAAAGCAGTCTTTCCCTAAGCGGGCAGTTTTCTGAGCCTAGGAAGTGGCCCACAGTTCCATCACACCCCCGCCCAAAGAGTACTGTGTCCCATCAGGACTGTGGAGAGCTGGGGGACCAGCGTCAGCCAGGGAAGCCAACCGCATCCCCTCTGCAGGCCAGACTCTCCCAATGACTTGGCTTCCACCAAGCAGACCCCTAAAAAGTTGGGAGTGGACCTTCCACACTACCATGCCCCTCCACAGAAAGGGGCTGAGCCCCAGTTCTTAAGCTGTTTCGTCTGCATCACCCAGCTACACAGTGAATTGTTGATCTCACCCATAAGAAAGGAAAGCTGTACGGCCACTCTCCAGGAACTGGAGGCTAACGAGAAAGAACAAATACAAGGACATAAACTATGAGATTAATTATAAATTGCCCAAGCAACTTTCAAGGGAATTGGATACTCAAAGACACGAACCTACAGATTCTTCTGTTCTCCTTCTACTTGATTTCCATAAAGAATACATCTTTAGAAGGAAGCATCTGGCAAGTTTTTCTTCTAAACATGAATACAGATGTGGAATGATCACAGAGAAACCAAGTACCTGGGGACTGAGATCACGCCTGCTCCAGCTTTTGTAGGGTCACACCTCATTTTCACAGCAGTGGATCGGCCATCAGCACACGATGGCGTAGTCGTGGAAGACCTGTTGGGAGGAAAATAGTATTTAAAAAAACATACGATAAAGATTACAAAACAAAAATGTGTGTATAATGTCTCCATGTTCCATAAGCAAATGAAAGAGAAATGAATTCAAGTCACTAATTTAAAATTTTAATGCAAATTCATTTCCTTTCCCTGCCTCTGGAAGGCTGATAATTTTCTTTGCAATATTACAAAGTAGATATTTATAAAGTAAAACTGTTAGAATTTTAATCAAAATGTTTTTAAGCTAAATGAGGGTCATATCTACTTAGGTTGATATCTGTATGTTGGGGCTGGTGAAATGGCTCAGTGGAAAAAGGGCTTCCTAGCAAGCACAAGGGCCTGAGTTCAACCCCAGTTCCGCCAAAAAGTAAAAATAAAAAGATATCTGTATGTTAATTAGAAATACTTTCTGCCTATGGAATGAATTAGAGCTCCTTTATTGCTTAATTTAAAGAAATATATTTACCTATAAATACACACCTATACATATATATATACTGATATTTGAGAGAATTATATGAGATTTGGAGGTAATAAAATACATGCAATATATACAAGTTCCTTTCCATTAAAAACTAGATAGTCCAGGGAAGCAGCACCTTCACTTACTTATAAAAGAAATGCACATCAGGTACTTGGCTTGGTGAAACAGGGAACATGTCTTCTTTTACATTAATGTTTTGCAATGTGGTTTCAACTGTCACTCCTAGATGGCATTGAAAAAGAAACTATTAAGAATAATGGGAAGCTAGGCTCAGTCTCTGTATACTGGAATAGAAGATAGCTGTATTTTGATGACTTCATTTCATAAGAAATACTGCATTAAAGCAATGTATTCCTGTTTTATTTTTTTTTTAAAAAAAGACCTTCCCAAAGTCTTCAGAATAAAAAGACTCTTCTCCTGAGCCTTATAATTAGCTAAAGTCATATAATTTCCTGGGCCTTAATTCCAGAATCTGTGAAATGCATGCAGTAAAATGAATGATTTCTAAAATCCCTTCCAGTTGTAGTAGTATGTTGGGCCGGGGAAATAGCTCAGGAGTACATGCCTATCTGGCAAGTACAAGTTCTTGAGTTCAATTCCGAGAGGGAGAGGGAGAGAGGGAGAGAGGGAGGGAGGGAGAAAGGGAGGGAGAGAGGGAGGGAGGAGGGAGGGAGAGAGAGGGAGGGAGGGAAAGGGAGAGGGAAGGAGAGGGAGAGGGAAAAGGAAAGGGAGAGGGAGAGGGAGAGAGAGAGAGAGAGGGAGAGGGAGAGAGACAGACAGACAGACACACACACACAGTGGTCACAGTTACTTGAGAGGCTGAAAAGCAGGAGGATGTCACCAGCAACACCCTGCATATCCTAATAACTTTTTAAAAAAATAACTTCAGAGCCAGGGATATAGCTCGGTGGCATAGCACCTGCCTGGCAAGTTCACAGTCCTGAGTTCATTTCCCAGCACCTAAATAAATTAATAAATTAAAAAAACTTCATAATCTACTTCATCTAAGAAGCAAAAAGACACACTTTCTTCCTCTCTCTTATTAGGTGAAATGATAGAACCAACTGCAGGGCTAACAGCAGCAGCCTCTCTGGAGTCCTGGCATTGAACGTTAATCAGGGAGCTGTCCGTGGTCCTGAAGTCCAGAGCTGCCCTCCTCTCGTGTTCACAGCCCAGGCTCCCCAATCTGCCTGCATATCTGAGTGCCTACAGAGCTGGTTAAAACTCCAGCTCCACCACCACAGAAGTTCTAGTAAACTTGGCTCATAACAATCCTGGGTTTACAGACATACATCCTTCTTAAAACTTTCCTATACCAGTTCAAGACCATGGAGGCAGAAGGGGACACGGGAAGAAACCTCAACATCTCGCCTTTGCTGCCTGCTTATTTACGGCCCAGGAAAAAGACTACAAAAGCCAATAGCATAAGCTGTGGTTTAGATTTTGTCTGTGTCTGCTTACTGTTCTTACTTTTTTGTTGTGGTTTTCTCACTTTTATCATTTGCTAGGCTCTTAATCTGACCAAGGCATACAGCCTCATAAAACGTCACTTCACATAGACATTCACACCTAAGTTTAGCATCTTCTTACACTCTGTGAGATGACCAACAAGCGTGGGTGCATTTTAAACATCTTTTGAAATGATTCAGAATTACCCGTGTGTCTTCATCATGTGGCAAATGCTGACTCAGTAAGTTACAGTGGCCATAATTTGGGGACAAATGCATGCATGCATTTCCTAGCCGAGGAAGCTCACCTAGGAATGTGTCTGCCAAGACGATGGACTGGGAAGAAAGGGCTGCTCGGAAACCCTTGCTTTCAGAAGGGATGATAGTTGACTGGCACACAAATGCTCCTACCAGATTCGCGTAATCATCTGAGCCCACCACTGTTCCCTTCACCGTAAAGTCTGAGATGTTGTTGGTGCAGAGAGCCATCTTCTTCCCCTGAGAAGCAAAGTCATGAGTAGGAGGCCTTCTTGAAAACTCATCTCTAAATAGAGCCTCACCCCACAACCAGAACTCACTGGTGTCACCTTGGAGACACCAACTTAACTGATCTGGGGTGAAGCCTCTGCGTTCATGTTTTTCAAGATCTCTCACGGCAGCTCCACTGTCCAGCCCAGCCTAGAGCCCAAGAGGCTTCCTCACATCCCTGTTCCTCCCTCTAGGAGCACTGCAGGTGCTGGATGGAAGCCACGTAACTTACAGAAAGGAAAGTCATCAGTGAGCACTCAGTGCCTACAGCAAGCATGCTACGAATCAGCAAATGCTGACGCCCACATCCAGATAGGATGGAGTCTGCTCTCTGTCCTCTTTCACAGGCCTGAATGTGGCAGAGAGGCATGGGGAGGCTAGAGAAGAAAGTCTACAGCACGCATGACAGCCAGATGCCAGATCAGCACAGCTGTTAAGAATCAGCCACTGTAGTATCTCCACACTCTGACTCTTGGATTCAATTATGTGCATAGGAAACTGAAGATAATGCAAGGGCTTAACTTCTTAATCTTTTACAGGTTAGTTAAAAGATACAATTTATAAAAACTGAAGACTTAGAGTATACCAGACCCAGGGCTGTAGTGAATGGCAGGAGGAGAGTCTCAGACCAGCTCCTGCTGCTGCCACTGACAGGACTCAGGGACCACAGATGCGCAGGGAGGCAGGCAACAGAGTAGGACCTCGGCTGGAGCACACAGAATGGACAGGTGGGACCAGTGGCATGGGACAGCTGAAGCAACAGCAGCATGCGAGGAACTCGAGCAGCAGGTGGTATGTTAGGTGAACCAGCCTTGCGCCAGGAGACAGGGTCACACGAAACAGGCAGGTGGGCAGAGATGTCACCTTTTCTTTTCTTTACTTTTCCCTCCTTTTTTTCTTATCTTTTTTCTTTTAAACAGCTGGGGAGAACTCTACCCACAGAAAACTAATCCAATATCCTAAATCCAGAATCAAAGATCAGACCCAAGCCCAGCACAAACTCACCTGCAATCATGGCTAGAGTACATATTCTGGGTCAGACATGGACCTACCATGCCACTGTAGACCCTAGAGGAATCTCACTGCCTTTATTTTTCTCACTCTGATGGGGTTTTCTCTTGGTAGTCATCTGGGATAGGATGGTTTGTTTAGGGGGTGTTGCTTGGTTTTGTTTTTCTCCCCTTTTTTCTTTTCTATTTTGACTTACTTTTTTTCTGTATGTTTGTTTTTTTTTTAATGTATGTGGTTATTTTTGTTTCATCTTTTTCTTTTTCATTTGTTTTCTTGGTTTTCCACCTTCTTTTCTCTCTCAGTCATGATTCAGATCACTAAACTTTCCCTTTGTATTATTCCACTCATCCTCTTCTTCTCTTATCAACTATCTCACTTGATTTTATGATACATCCTCGTGAATAAATATTGTCTCTTCTCTTTCTGGTTCACTTCAGTACTCTTAGGCTTTCTCTTCCAACCCCACCATCTTGTATCCTATAATTACTCAAAACTTGGATGCTCATCCTATGAACACTAAATTTCTACCCCCTACCCTCTTAAACTTCCACAACAAGGTAAAATTACTCTACTGAGTGGGAAAACACTGTGTACAAGTTCCTGGTATAAGTTGGATTATATTATATAACTAGAACTTGCTCCTTTGCTTGAGTTTGTTGTTGGTGCTAACTGTACCATGTTGACCAGGATGTCATACCTGCTATAATCAGTTTTCACCATTTTAAGACTACACTGTGATTAAAAGGGGTCATAACTATCACCATACTCCAGTACCAAAGCAATAGGTCTTGAGTCAAATTGGTAGCAACTCCACATACTTAATATATTGGGAAGGTAGTTTCTTGGGATAAATATAAAGACCAAAATCCACCCACAGCCTGAAGTCAACCTGAGGAATAGTCATTTCCTAGGAAAATCTAGACACCAGGGGGAAAAAACTAACATAAGAAATTTACAAGCATCAACACAGAAAACAAAACAATATAAAAAATAGAAAATAGAGGAAGAAGGAATGCTCAGCCTACCCAGGACAAGTCCAGAGCACAAAGAGATAGAAGAAATGAGAAACCAATCACTGGAACTCTCTGAAATGATAGCAACAGCAGTGAAAAAACAAATGGAAGAGGCCACTGAAAAACATAACATCTAAGGTACAAAAAAATAAAATGAAAGATATTAAAGTAGATACAGATTTTAAAAAATAGAGGAGCCTAAGAAAATGACAGAAACCATGAATTCCCAATGTAGACAAGAAATGAAATCACCAAAACAGAGTGAAACAGAACTCCAGATTAAAAATTCCATTGAAAGTACACACAACATATCGAATAAAGGCAATAACAGAATATCAGACCTAAGACACAAATGTGACTAGATAGCAGGAAAACATACCTTAAAAATAGCAAGGGATCAGGAAAAATAAATCCAACAGCTACAAGATGAAGCAAAAAAACAACACAAGATTGATTGGAGTTAGTGAGAAAGCTGGAACAGCACAAATGCTATTAAAAACCTCTTCAAAGAAATAATGGCAGAAAAAATTTGCAAATATGGACAAACAATTTGAAATACAAATAAATAAAGCATATATAACTCCAAATAGGCAAGACCAAAATAAATGTACAGATGGCTCAGTAGAATAAGTACTTGCCTGGCAAGCACAAGGGCCTGAGTTCAATCCCTGGTTTCACAAAAATAAATAAATAAATAAATAAATAAATGAAAAAAGTCATCCCCATTTCAGGCTGGGGAGATAGCTCAGTGGAATAAGTGCTTGCCTGGCAAGCACAAGGTTGTGAGTTCAATTGCTGGATAAAAAATAAATGTACACCAAGACATATAATAATCAAGATTCCAGATATCAACATAAGAATAAAATATTAAAAGCAGCTAGAAAAAAGTAACATATCACCCATAAAGGAAATGCCATCAGGATCACAGCAGATTTCTCAACCTAAACCCTCAAATCCAGGAGAGCTTACAGTGAGGCATTTGAAGCCCTGAAGGAAGACAGTCTTCAACCCAGATTAATGTACCCCATAAACTGTTTTTCAAGATTGATGGAGAAATAAGATATCTCCACGACAACTGAAGAAATTTGTGACCACCAAACCAATGGTCATCAATTTGTGACCACCAAACTATGTCCTTCAGACATAGAGAATGCTCTGAACGACATAGAGATAAGAAAGACCATAAATACATAAACACCACTAGAAAGAAGCCACTAGAGCAAGATGAACAATTAAACAGAGGAGAAAAATAGGAAGCAAACAAGAAAAATAAAAGCCAATATATATCAGTGATAATCATCAAGGTAAATGGTCTCAACTAACCAATTAAAAGAAACAGACTGGCAGAACAGATCAAGAAGCAAGACCCAGTAATATTCTGCATTCAAAAAACACATTTAGGGCTGGCCAGATAGCTCAGTGGACTAAAAGTGCCTGCTCAGGCAGAATGCAGGGACTAGGGTTTGATCTCCAGCATGCTGTGTCGGCCCCACCCCCAGGGCACCCTGAGATGGCGACTGAGACTGGGCGTGGTGGAGCATGCCTATAATCTCAGCTCTTCAGAGGCTGAAAACAGGAGAATCACTACGAGTCCAATCTACGTAGTGAGACTCTGTAAAACCTAAATAAATAGGAGAATTTTTTTAAAAAGAAAGAAAGAAACAAATTTAACCCAGAAAGAAAATCATAAACTAAGTCAAAGGATGGAAAATAATTCTCCATGCCTTAGGAACCCAGAAAAAAGCTGGGCAGATGGTCTATTTGCAGAACCTCTTAGGTCAGTTTTGTTCCTTCCTTGCAACTACCCTTAGATGATCAACATTCCTGGCTTTTCCAAACTTCTGGGGTTTCCACTGCATGTTAGGAAAAATTCTCCAATATGGATAAATAATATAAATATAATACACACATTAACAGAACCAAAGATAAAAATCATATGATCATCTCAATAGATGCAGAAAAAGCATTTGACAAAGTTCAACACCCATCCATGATTAAAAAAAAAAAATCCTACAGAAACTTGGAAAGATTATCTTGATCTCAATCTAATAAAAGCTATCTATGACAAACCAAAAGTTAACATGATATCTTTTTTAATGTATTTAGTACAGGGTTGACAGGGTCTCACTACACAGATCAGACTCATGGGGATCCTCCTGTTTTCAGCCTCCCAAGAGCTGGGATTACAGGCATGCTCCACCATGCCCAGTCTCAGTCACCATCTCAGTGTGTCCTGAGGGTGGGGTAGGGACAGCACGACATGCTGGGAATTGAACCTCAGTCCCTGCATCTGCCTAAGCTGGCACTTTAGTCCACTGATCTATCTGGTGGGCCCTCTAACATCATATTAAGTGGTCAAAACCTGTAAGATTTCATTCTAAAATCATGAACAAGAAAAGGGTCCACTATTACCACTTCTATGCAATATAGTTCTGGAAGCATTAGCCCAAGCAATTAGACAAGAACAAGAAATAAAAGGAATAAGGATAAGAAAGTAAGAAGTTAAATTATCATTATTTGCAGATGACATGATATACTACAGAGAAGATCCATAAAGCTCCACTAAAAGATTTGTAGATTCAATAACCAAATTCAGTAGTATAGCTGGATACAAAGTCAACACTCAAAACTCAATAGCATTCCTGTACAAAAGCAACAAACTCAGAGAGAAATTAGGGAAATGACATCCTTTCCCATAGCATCCAGCAAAGTGAAATACATAGGAATCAATCCAATAAAAAAAAGTAAAAGATTCATACATTAAAAACTACAGTACTCTGAAAAAGGAGATCAAATCAGATCACAGAAAATAGAAAGATATCCATCCCTTGCTCATGGATAAGAAAACTAGCATAATGAAAATGGCAATACTCCCAAACCTGTTACACAGATTTAGTGCAAGCCCAACAAAAATACCACTAGCATACTTCACAGAGCTAGAGAAAACATTCATAAAATTCATTTGCAACCAGAAGAGACCTAGAATAGAAAGAGCAATACTGGGCAACAAGGGCAAGTCAGGCAGCATCACACCACGGACTTGAAATTATATATAAAACTGCTGTAATAAAATCAACATAGTATGTGAACAAAAAAGAAAAACAGATGTAAGGATCAGTGAAACAGAAGAGAACATGCAGACACAACTCCAAGCACACTCAGCCATCTTATCTTTGACAAAGGAGCCAATCATATTCACTGGAAGAAAGATGTCTTTTTAAATAATAACGCTGGAAAAACTGGCTTTCCATATTTCAAAGACTAAAACTAGACCTGGGTCTATCACCATGCACTGAATTAAAGTCAAAATGGACAAAGATCTAAATATTAAAACAGAAACATTAAATATACTGGAAGAGAAAATAGGTAAAAATCATGAAGACATAGGTGTAGGCAGAGACCTCATGAACAAAACCCAGACGACACAAGAAATACAACAAAGAATCAACAAATGGTATCTCATCTTACTGAAAAGCTTCTGCATAACAAATCACCAACAGAATAAAAAGACAATCCATAGAGTAGGAAAAATTATAGCCAGTTGTCCCTCAGACAAAGGACTTACATCTAGATCACATAAAGAATTGAAAAAAATCAGGCCCCCAAAATTCAAAGACCCAATCCAAAAATGGGCATCTAAGATGAATACATACTTCAGATGAACATAAACAGCAAATAAATATTTATTAAAGAATGTTCAACATCATTGATCATTCAAGAAAACAATGAAAACAATGCTGAGATTTCATCTCACCCCAGAAATAAAGGTTATCATCAAGAAATCAACAAATTCTGGAGGAGATGTGGGGGAAAATAAAGCCTTCTCCATGGCTTGTGGAAGTGTAAATTGCTACAACCACTACAAAAATCAGTGTGGAAATTCCTTAAAAAACTAAAATTAGAGGTCCCATGTGACCCAGCTATTCCTCTTCAGGATGTCATCCCAGAAGAATTAAAAACATCATACCACAGCAATATGTTGCACCCACACTTACAGCAACACAATTTGTAACAGCTAAATCTTGGAAACAACTCAAATGCCCTTCAACTGAGGAACGGACAAAAACAACATGGTTTTTTAACATACAATGAAGGTAAATGGACACAACTTTACTCATAAGTGAAATAAATCAGACCCACATGTGTAAACATCATATTATCTCATTAGTATGAGAAACTGTAAGAGTAAGTAAGATCTAAAATGTAAAATAGATATTGTGAATAGGGAAGAAACTGTTCAAAATAAAATTATAATGGGAGAAAGGGAAAAGGAATGAAGGAGAAAGATGGAAAGAAAGAAAATAGTTAATTTTTTATTAACTACTGAAAATCAATAATTGCATATACTAAAAATTGCAGATAAATATTGAAATGTGAAAGATATAAGATGTAAACAGAGTGAGTTTTAGAGAAATATTTCTGAAATGAATACATAGCATGAGATTAATAGATTGCACATTGAAAATAAATTATTTACAAACCTTAGTGAATATAATAAAAATTGTCCAAAATAAAAATGAAGAATTTATAGATCATTCATATAATAGTTCACTGTGTCAAAATCAAGAAACTTATATTCATATAATTCTCAAAGTAGAAAGGGGTAGGCAATAAATATTTAAAGATTTAAAATTTCTGAATTTAGTTGAACTTATAACACCACATTTCCAAGAAAAATGAATCTTTTGCCAAGAAACGTGAATAAAATCATACCAAGACACACAAAATGAAATTGTCCAAAACTTATTATAAAGAAAAAATTATTAAAGCATATACATAAAAAATATTAGCTATGAAAGAACAAAATTAAATAGCATCTTATTCCACATTAGAAAGAAAGAAAAAGACCAAGTGTGTAAGAAACGAGACTACTTAAAGGACTGAAAGAAAAAAAAGAGAAAATAGTTAAGATATACAGCTAATTTCTCTTAATTCATTGAAAAGAAAGTTTTGTGCTAATGCTTTTTTGGACAGCATTTCATTCCTGTATCTTTTACTCTGAACAGCTATGAAAATAAGGAAGTGCACATTAATTATTATTACTCTCATACCATCCTGTTATGATGCTGTTTGTTTTTACTTTTTTCTGTTCAAAATAAAAAACTTATTTATACTGCCACACTGAAAAGAACTACAGCTTATGCCATAATTTTTACCAAAAAAAAAACCTGGAGAAGTCGTCTATCCATCTCAGACGCAGTGTGATTGGGCGGACGAACAGACCTCCCTTCCTGGGCGCAACCTGGACTCTGCCCACCAATCCCCTCCTCTGCCCTTCCCTCACAATACTGAAGCACATTCTTCCTAAGCTTAAGTTGCACTGGTGCAGTCCAGAAGAAATAACAGGAGACAGCAGAGAGAGAACCAGTGAGGCAAGAAAGAGACAAAACAGACTAGAATGAAATGAGCAAGAAAAAGGAGGGCGGGAAGGATAAGACTGACAAGTGTAACAGACGGCAGGACCCAGCGCCCTCCCTGCCTTACCCTATCACAGTGCAGTCACCCTGACACCGCAGTCTATCATCTGAGGGGAAACTGTGTTTGTAATTATGTGGGGAAAATGGTTCGTCACCTGGTAGGAGTTTGCAAGCAGAAGCAAACTTCGGTGATAGCTTGAAGTGTCTGTGGACCGAAGCACTGCTGGTCTAGCTCGGTCTCTATCACGTGGACAATGGCCAGTCGGGCTTGTGCACATGGGATCACTTGTATAAGGTCAGGAGCATGCACACCCGTGCTACACTTTAACTTGAAAACTTCTGCCACCATCAGACCTCTTTTCATTGCCTCTGAAGAAGCCTGGCACAGGATGTCTTAGTGAAGACACGGGTGGAAGTTAACACAGAGGAGTCGCAGAGGAAGGACCTCACGGTTTTCCACCTATCGTGATCATACACGCAGATAAATTCTTCCTAATGCTGACCTCAGATATCCATCAGCATAAGGATACAGGAACCTCAAAGCTGCCCACTAAGTGCCAGTTAAGGTTCTGCTCCTTCCCACAGAGGAAAGGTCCTGTTCTGATCAGCATACACTCCCCTACCAACCGATCCCTCCTTTTCACTTTGAGTCTACTTCCTAACCCAAGCTGACAATGAGCGTGTCAGCCCGGGTGGATGGGCAGCTGCCTGGACAGTGGTGGGCAGTGACCCACGGCGCCTGTGACATCTCCAAAGGAGATGGGTGCATCCTGCAGCAGGGGAGGGAGGGACCAGCCTGCAACGTGAGTGGGCAGAGCCAGGCAGCTGAGGGCCCAGGTGACAAGGGCAGAGCAAACGTTTCTCTCAGCCTGGACCTGGGACGCCATCCGCCTGCCTGGCACTGCAGCACGTGGCTCTCCAGGACTTATGCCAGCAGCCCCCAGGCACTCAGGCCTTCAACCTCACTGGGAATCGTAGCATGGACTGCCCTGGTCGGCCCTCAGCATCCAGACCAGGACGGAGGCACCCGGCGGCACCCAGGGTCTCCAGCCCAGGGACAGCCTGTCCAGACGCCTCAGCCGCCAACGCCACCCTCACCAACTCTCTTAGTAAATTATCTCTCCTGTTAATCCCTCCTCTCTTTGGAGAACCCTGACTAATACCGAAAGCACCAGTAAGGCTTTTTGAAACCGTAACAGCTTGCTGAAAAGCTCAGTAGGACGGACAGGCCTGACCCACTTTCCAGGACAGGAACCACAAGCCCTCAGTGCACAGAAGCTGTGGCTGCAGACCGGGCCCCCCGGGGCCTGGGATTCCAGTGAGGCAACCTGGGCAGACAGTGTTGTCAGTCTGATGGAGGCAGCCAGGGTTTCTATGAGTCGCCAGTGCCACAGCAGCTGTCCTAGCCCCCACAGGGAACGAGCTGCCTGCAGCTGGCCAGCCAGAACTCACCCGGTGTCCACACAGGCTGATGTTGAAGAAGTGGAAGTACTTTGTCCCTTTGGAGGTGAAGCTGGGGCCATTCATTAGAGAGCCTGCGGTACTCAGGCTGCTGAAGTCATAGTGCAAGCTCTGGTTTTCTTTTTCATAGTAGAAGAAGCAGTCACTGTAGCAAACTGAATGGTCCTTTGGGGATGGAGAAGCACAGAGAAACAACATTGCAGGAAAGAAGGTGTTAGCTACTGCTGGGATATGTATCCAAAAGGTTCTAGGTATAGAACAGGCACTTTGGTAATTTTTACTTCTGTTACCATAAGCCCTGCACTCTAGATTTCTCTAAGAAAACTGAGGAGTCAAATCTTTTAGTAAGTTAATCTCAAGTTAATTTCTTACAGAAAGATATTTTAAGGGAAAACAACAAAACTACCTTCTTCTTCACCCTACTGTAACATTAATCTTTATCTTTAAAACATTGTAAATTACACCCAGGGCTTCCCAAAGAACCCTGCAGCCAGCCCACAGTAAAACATTTGCTGTACCGTAACAGTGCACAAGAAATCAGTTTTACTGTTGTTGGAAAACTAGACTGAGTGCATTTCTTACTACGTGTATTTTTATGCCTGTGGTGGTGTGCAATTTCACAGAACATACCCAGTATTTAATAGATGTAAGAGGAGGGGAAACAACGAGGGGCATTAAAAGGCTTTTTGTTTTTCAGAATACACAGCAGCCCCACAGCTTGTGGGACCCTCGAGTCTCCCCAGAAAGTTCACTTTTGTGGGGACACCGCCAGGCAGCGCTCACCTGGCTGCTCTTGCTCCCGGGCCCACAGGGAATGCACGCCTCCCGGCCGTAGACCTGGTGGGTGGACAGGCGGGTGTCGCGTGGACACTCCTGGCACTGGTTGGCCTCCTTCTCAATGTAGTGGCCTGGGGGGCAGGGGACACACGATGAGCCCGACTGCTCAGAGCCCAGGGCACAGGCGCGGCACGAAGACGCCACTCCATCGACTACGTTAGTGGCTGTGATGGAATAGATCTTCACCACATCCTTGATGAACCGTCTGTTCTAGAGAGAGAGCAGAAAGGGATGACTCCCGCCAGGGCTCACGCTCCTGCCACCAAATGACAAGCAAGGCTCCAACCAGGAAGCCTGCAGCTAGCGATGGGCAGCACCAACCTACTGGATTCTCCTTTTAAAACCCTTCAATCTCAACATGAAAACTTCTGCCCACAGTAACGGCACTCCAGGAATGGTGCCACCTTGCCATGAGCTGTGTCGCACGCGCATAAACGCAGCACACCTGCATCAGAGCAATGGCTGCTCTTTGACAGAGGAACCACTTGGTCTCCATCGCTGCTGCTCAGGTCTGAGTCCAGGCCCCAGGGTACCCTGGGGTGCTGACAGAATGGCAGGGTGCAGCTGCCTGGCCCCCCCAGACTAGGGGCCCTGGAGGACTAGACCTGGGTGCCTCACTTGAACCCTGCCTCAGGACACTGGTGGCCACACCACTGCCTAAGCCTCCTCTGCTCCAGCCTCGCAGCGCTCAGTGTATTCTGATCTTGACCACAGGGTGTGGGGAGGGAAGCCCCTGGTCTTGCTGTGTCTTTCCTTCGAGGGAGCCTGCCAGAGCCTGGCTTTCACCAAGCAGTGGCAGCACTGTCCCAGAACAGCTTGCCCAGACTGCCCAATGCTTGCTAGCCAAGCAAAATTAAAGGCAGGCAGGGAGGGCAGGACTGCATCCTGCACGCACACCCACCAGGTAGAAGAGCTGGCATCAGACGAACTCCAGGGACCTGGCTCCCACAAGCCTGAGGGGACAAGTGACGTGTGCCACGTGACCCTGTGCATCAAGGCCACTTCTGCATGTAGCCCTGGCATCTATGCAGACCACAGAGCGAGTCCTGCTCCCCTGCAGCATCTGGCAAGACTCACCTAGGGCAGGGCCAGTACTGCCTCTCCATGAAGGAAAGGGAGGGCAATGGCATGGGGTGGCAACTCCCACCCGCCCTGCCCTGTGTCCACGTGCACGTTTCCAAAAGCAAGTGTCCCCATTGTGAAAAAGTACAATATGTAGTTCCACGCATGGTTCCTAAAAACGTCTGATCATTCAGACGAAGAGGAAGAGCACTGCCTAATTTCCCAAAGTCCCAGAAAGCTTAGAAGCAAAATTTTAGATAACTACACACTTAGATTATCTCTTAAGTGTTAAGCAACTATTTTTGTTCAGAATTTAGAATAATTCAAACTTATGCCATGTCATTCCATTTTGCACATTCTTACTTCAAAAAATACAAAACACCCGTTTTCACCACAATCCCCCCATAACCAGAGGATGACACACCAGCACAGCGCCACGTCCCCTGCGGGCTGGCGTCCACCCTGCACACCCCTGTGCAGGGCACCCTCGCCATGTGTGCGCGAGAACCAGCCAGCACTTACGTCCTGGCCCTGGTTGGTCCTCTGGAAGGCCCACGTGAATGTGAACGTGGCATTCTTGAAGATGAGGTGAGTGTAAGCTTGTTTCTCTTTGGTTCCGCCCCATGATTCCACCACGTTGGTGCTTTTTCTGTTAATATCCTAAAACAGTGAGAAAATAGAGACAAGCACACCCTCAGTGCTGACACGCCACGCTCGCACTACACTTGTGTGCTGGTGCCGGGAGCCCATGCCCCTTAGGCTCTTCTACCCACGGAAGCGCCTCACCCCGTCTGTCTGTGACACCACGGACAGCCACGGGATCAGGATGAAGAGTCCCCAGGTCAGGGACTCTGAGGGCCGGGTTTTGTTTGCTTGTGTGTTGTATGTATGTGTGATTCCAGCTCAGCATACACGCTCAGAAGACAAGATGCAGGCCTCACACTCCTCATCGAATGCTCCCAGAAACTGCTCACGTGGAAAAGCTTTCCATTTTCGTCCTTTTCCTTCACAGTCTGGCAGACAGCCCCCATACAGAAATCCTGAGCACCCCTGAATTATACTTGGATTCTAAAGGCTTGCCTACGGGCGGGCTGGACAAAATGGTGCTCTACATACTCCTTGATATCCAAGCACTTCGTGTCCTTTAATTTGGTTCTCCAAAACTCCAGTGAGAAGAGTAAATCACACGGAGTTAAGAAATGCTCCTATAAGAAACACAGCTCTGGCGTCGATTTGCCAAGATAAATAACACACAGCCCTGTCCTGGAGATCATCCAGTCACGCAAGGCAAAAACCGTTCACAGTTAAGAAGGGACTGATCTCCCAAAGGGCTTAGGGAGCATTCAGGAGGAAGTGATTAATTTTACTTAAAGGAATAAGAGAAAGCCTCACAGAAGAAATGAAGTTTGAGCTTCCCTAGAAGCATACATGGGAGTTCAGAAAGAAGAGCAAATGGAAGGAAATTCTGGCTCATGTGGTAGGGCTGGCTGGGAAATGCCAAGGGTGGCGTGTTTATCAACACAAGCACTCAAGTGACAGAGGGTGGAGAAGCAGTCCACACAGCCCTGCTCAGAGCAGCCTGGAAGAAGCTGCAGGGGACTGTGCAAAGGAGATCTCGGATGTCCTGGGCTGCCAGGTCCCAGGCTATCAGAACCACTGTGAGGTTTGCAGAAGCGCAGACTGCTGCACCCACCCCCATTCCAGAAGACAAGGAAGGGGCCCCGAAATGTGAGCTTCTAACACATGGTTAGATCCAGGATGCTGGTGCTTCGGTGTAGAGACCACATGAAAACGACTGTTGCAGGCACCAGAAGCCACCTCCGGGAAAGGGCAGGTGGTTTTCACATTTACAGGTGGAGAGGAGGGGATTACTGAGTGTAGGATGGAGAGGAGATGGGAGTCTAAAACCCAGCATGGGCCCTAGGTTGGACCCAAGAGCTGACAAACAGGGCAGAACTGGGAGAAGTGAAGAGCCACATGGGATGCTGTGGGCAGGCGTAGGGAGAGAATGCAGGACATTCATCCTGCAGCTACGAAGTCAATACCATTTTCAGAAGGAAACTGTGTGTGCTCACCGACAGCAATCACAAGTGAAATGTCTACCTCTTCACTGCCCAGGGTACTAGAGGAGCTGGCAACAGCTGTTAATGAGCGGCTAATGGGTCCTCAGAAAAACAGCAAGCCTAAGAAGTTACTACTAGTTGGAATGTTAAAATCTTAACCAGCAATCTTCTAAAGCCCACAAGAGGTCCTGGTGAGCTGAAAAATGTTTATTCTTTCCCAGCAAGCAATTGGAGTCTATATCAAGCCTAGAAAAAATGGCAAAATTATAGCATGCATGCTAAACTACTCTGTCTAGATGCACGAAATTCCACAAGGAGGAGTTTCCTATCTTCCCGACGCTCCATACTTTCATTATGTTCTGTCTTCACTCATTAATTCATTTTCCCCCTGATGTGGTCATTACAGCAGTTTGTCATTTCATCTGCTGGTGCCACGTCTTCAGGAAGGAATTCTAGAGAAATTCCTGGCCTCTGTCCACCACAGCACCCTCTCCTACTTCTCTACACAACAAACCACACTTCTCTCCCCTCTTGTTGCACCATTCTTAGTGACTTCTGCAGCCATTTTGTAAAAAGGACAGCAAGAGAAGTGGGACTTCTATCTCTACATGCACAAGCAAATCCACCCATGAAAGAGAGCAGCAGACTCCAAACTCCGCCTGCCAAGCTGCCTTCCACTCACCACCATGAAGTACAGGACACAGTCAGCGGAGCAGAGCATCTCGAACACGAACGTTATCCTCCCCAGCTCCGAGCCCGGGGCTCCTGTCAGGGACGTCGGAGGCCTGCGTGATAGAGTGAGTTGCAGTATTTATGACCTCAACACCACTGGGAACAAAGTCAAGCGGCTTTCTCTTCAGCTGAAAGCCCCCTCACCTTCCTCCTGGAGCCCAGCCCCTCCGCACAGAACCCTACCCATCCACCCCCTCCCACGTGCAGTGCACACAGCCCTCCCAAGGCAAAGGCTACTACGAGCCCAGAGCGGGAAAAAACTCCTACTGGAGCTTGAATTCAGGGCACTGGAGCAAAGAAGCTTAACAATGTGTATCACGCTGCTTTAGAGCTACAGCTGGGAAAAAGAAAGTCAACCTAGGCTAAGACGCCTCACGAGCAGGCAGACAGGAGCTATGGTTATTGCAGCTTTGGACTCTAAAGCTCTCCAGTGTCATCTAAGAGACACACAGCCAGCATGGTACTTTCCCGGTCACTGGCTCCACAGCTGTTGTTAATGTACCGCTGACTCCTCACCACCAAGTACTCAGTAACAGTAATACATTCTATTTCTGTGGGAAGCAGGGCAAAGATTGTTTCAGAAAAGAATGGGAATTGGTTTCCCTTACTTGAACCCCGGGATGTGCAGGTTTAGGATCAGGTAGTCATTGTCTGAGCCTCCAGCTCCACTCTGGATATGATCTCCGGCCACCTCCCACCCTGGAAGAGGGAAAACGGCCACTGACAATTTCCAAAAATCTCTTTCAATCTAGCAAAAATAATACACATAACTAGGGTTTACACTCAGAGTTAGATGCACCCCAAAGTAACTCTAGCTTTCGACACAGGAGTAGGCAGCACAGGCGGCTGAGCCCAGAAGACCGAAGGCCCTGCGGGCCGGCACCACACTCACCGTTCATCCCATCACACTTCGAATTGCCCACGTTGAAGCAGGAGGTTTTCATGTTCCCAGGAAGGACGTTCCACCATTTGTACTCAAACCCCAGGGCTGGCTCTGTGCCTGCAGGGCAGGGTCTGCAGTCTGCACAACAAAGGGCACAGTCCCAAGTGATCACACCTGGACACTCCTCCTCCGCGCCACACGCCAAGCAGAGGTGCAGGCAGACACCAGTGCCCCTGGAACCAGGACATGCCCCAAGCGCAGTCGTGAAGGAACTTCTGGACACGTATGTGCAGGTGTGCTTGGCATTTTCTGCTTAGTGCTTTGTAACAGATGTGCACACACTCAGCATTCCAGCAAAGGATGGTTTATCATTAAATACTTAAAAGTGAAATCTAAATTTTCCTTATCAATACCCACAGCCCAGAGCTTTGCCTTAAAGCAGTACTGTATAAAATGACACTAAAATAGCTGTCCCCACACGTGCACTAGGTCACACGGCTGCACAATCCCATCCGCTCACTTCTCAGCTCTTCTGCAGCCTCCGTAGGTCCTTCCACAGGAGCTGATTAGCACACAGTCGCTGCAGCCAAAGCACACTGTCTTGCTCTGCTCTAACACACAGCTGGCTGGGGACACTCTACCTACCCTTTGTGCCATCTGAATACGTCCCAGGAGCGCAGGGGTGACACGAAGATGATCCATTGCTGTAGAATCCGGGGTTGCAGGGGGGACAATCCTTCTTTTCTCCAGAAGGGGGCAGTCGAATAGCACCTCTGAGGTCCTCCCTGCAGATTTTGGGCTCTATCCACTTGTACATGATCTGTGTCTGGAAAAGAACACATCATATGCCTGCTCACAGCAAGGAGGTAAAGGCTGGCAACACAGTAGACGCGCACGCCATGGCAGAAATGGAGTCAGCTGCAGAGCACCTAAAACCGCCACAACAAAATCACCTTGCAAAGGACGACAGCTGGTGGAACCCTCACACCACGTGGACCGGAGGCACCTCCTCCGCAAACCTCTCTAAGGCAGGAGGTGTGGCCACTGCCCGTTGCCTCCTGTTCAGCATCTACTCTGCCCCAGCTTTGGCACAGCAACTTTCTCTTTCTCATCTGAGACTCCACACCTGGCTGGTCTCCACCCAGCACACATCACTGGGCCTTGCACACAGGTACTGCAAAAGCAAAGGACTATTTTTCCAGATATGAGATCAAGCCTCACATCTGGACCCTAAAAGTTCATCCGCACTGGCGTGTACTCTCCAGGTCTTTCTCCAGACCCTGACATGGGCCTTGCTGTGCCCTGAGGAGCCCAGAACCTGAGCCACTGCCTGGACTCGTGGACGCAGATGCCCCTGCCTACAGGGTGTCCTCTGAACCCCACACCTCCCTTTCTCCTACATGCACACACCCCACACAGAACAAAAGCAGAGAGCAGACACTGGCCAGACCCCTAAAAGTGTTATCCAATTAGTTATTCTCACTTGAACTCAGAAATACAGAAGGGGTTAAAACAAAACTGCTGTGTGCTGTGAGGAAAAGAGAAGACCTTCTAGTGCAAACTGAGGAGCAGACCTCCATAACACAGCACAGCTCTTCAAAGAGAGACTAACAGCTTTCATTAGACACACGACCTGTTGAAAGCATTTGCCCTTGAAGGCAAGCTACTACAGAAGCCAAAACCCAAATCAGGGTGACAAGGCACTGTGTTTCCAGTCCGCAGAGTCAAGGATCGTAGGACCACTCAACATACCTCAAGGATAACGATGAGCGGATCACCTGGAGGAGGGACGCTAAGAAACGCCTTACAGGTAAAAGTCTCAACAGAGTTGCAAATAGCATTCCTGCTTGCATAAGCTCCTCTCCACACTGCCACTATGGCTTAGGTCATGATGCGCTGCCCCAGCTCCACTGTTCTGAGCAGTGAGAAACTTACCAGATACTCCACCCATTGGGCAAACTCCCAAATGGCCAACAGAAGGCAAAATAGAAGTCAGAGATTCTGAACAACGAAGCAGGAAGTATTTGGGGAAGTGGGTGTTAAAATTCTGATTCAACAAGTACAGAGGGCAAGTTTCAATTTCTAGCCAATACCTGCATTTCCCAAGTTATTCTGGCAGTGACACGATACGTGACCTTCTCCTGCATTCTTGGGAGCAGCTGGTTCCCTGGTGGGACACAGGCCCGTGCTGCCACTGCCGCCACCACGGCAGCTTGTGTGCTGGCCCTCTCATGTATAAACACAGCAGCTCCTAGAGAGGGCCCAGAAGGCACCGGCCCAAAGTCAGGCGCAACGGGTAGTAGTGAGGTGGTGCCGTGGAGGACAGCCAGGGTGGGAAAGATAAAACGGAAAAATAAAAAATCTACTTTGAGATGCCTCCTGGCCACGTGACTTCCAACAGGAACAAGCAAGCTGGGATGGGGAGGTACACAGAGAACACCCTGAACAGACACATACACCTGTCGGGTTGCAAACACCCTTCAGGGCAGCGTGTACGCACAAAGCCTCCTCCCTCATGCAGGAGGCTGCACTGTGCCTTTCTCATGGGGCCAGATGCTGTCCCAAAGCTGCCTGGGAAACAATAATCAATATTTATGAAATTTCCCACCAGATGGCTCGGAGCAGGTGAAACGCCAGCCATCAGCTCACTCTGTGCCAAGCTGAGCCACGATTGAGAAATGTTTTTATGAAAGCAAAGCTCTAGCAGAGTCACATTTACTACACTTCCATTAAGACCACAAAAGAGCCATTTATGCTACTGACAGGAGGGCACTAAAGCTAAGCACGGAACAACACACAGAGCTCTGGATGGGGCGCAGCGGAGAGTGCGTGCAGACACCAGGTGAGCCCATCCCTGGGAAACAACACCGTGCAGGCAGGAGAAGCAAAAGTCTCAACAGACTAAGCGAAACTCACGAGGAGCAGCACTAAAGACAGCTCTGGGGGCGGGTCTGTCCAGGCAGCCCGGCTTCCTCCTGCCAACGCCACTGCACACGTGCACGAAGGTTTCGGGGGCTGGCTCTGTGCATCCGTGCTGCCTGCCTTCACAGGCGCCCGCGCTCTGCTCCAGCCCAGCGCCCACACCCTGACCTCCCAGGCTCCCGGCCTGAAACACAGGCCGGTGCCCGTGCAACCAAAGCCTGAGGGCTGTGACTTGGGGGTCGGCACCCAGGAAGGAAGCGACCCTGAAGACCCACAGGAGGAGAGCATGAACGAGCCTGAGCAGCTTCCGCTACCTGGCTTCCCGGGCGTGGGGACCCCTCCACTCTGCCCACTTCACACTGGTGAGAGTCAGGGCTCTTGTCTGACTTCTGAAAACCTATCTTAAATGTATTTAGCACAGGCCTGCATAATTACCTCGAGTGTGGAAGCAAAATTGTCCCAGTGTTCAGCCACCATTAAAGGGTCACATGTGGCTCACAAAGAGCTCCCCACCACTTCCCACCAGGAACACACTCGCGTGTGCACACACACCTCTGCCTAGGTCTAGTACACAAAATAACTAAAAGTATCAAGCCTTTCTGTAAGCCACTAACTACCCAGCAGGGAAGACTGCAACCCTTTGATTCTAGCAAGTCAATCCAAGGCCACCTTTAAGATGTGCTTGCCAGGTGCGGTGGTGTATACTCAGGAGCCTGAGTCAGGAAGATCGCTGCAAGTCTAAGATCAGCTTGGGCTACAAAGTGAGCTCAAGGCCAGCCTGACCACCAAATGAAACCCTCTCAAAACCACAGAAAAGAAGACTTGCTCCCTGGGAGCTCAACAGCTCAGATGCAAGCGCAGCATCTTCTGCATTCTGGGGAGGACTCCTCTACCCTTGGAGCAGCTGCTGCTTTTTTCTGTTTAGCAAGAGAAATCTAAATCTTGGATCCCTTAGAAATCTTCATTGCAAGGAATATTTTCTCTTCCAAATGCTTCTCTGAGACTTTCACACAACTGATTTTGGTTTCACTGATTTGGGCTTCTCGGTACAGTGGTC